AAGGTTAACCAGGAATCAAATCAATCACGAGTAGAAATATGCACCAGAAAACCAAACTTCCTCCAACACTTCTATTTTACCTCTCCGTTCTTTCTGAACCCAATCAGCTTGTGCTGGAGGAGGGATGGGTTTTTGAGGACCATAATAATGTCTTGAACCAGGATCTCCTTCTTCGAACTTATCTTGTTCTGCCTGCAAAAAAAAACCTCCTCATCATAACCTTTATACTTCGTAAAGTAATACGTTTAATTTGCTTATATATATTTATAATTTTTATAACTGCTCCATAAATAAGGGCCATTCCTAACGTTGAACTGATACACTAGAGGGAAGGAAATTATTCAACAGCACCCTCCGCCAACTCTTAAGCTACTTTTATATGAGCAAATATTAAGTTTGATTGGCACCCTTATAGCTAACCCACAGTCTCACAGTGAAGAGTGTAATCTCCTGACATTAGGTTTCCAACCCTCAGATTCATAGTCCGACCACAGTAACTACAAGGCCACGCCTCATATAATAAGATTGATTGGATAACTCACGAAAATAGTCTGTAAAGATGCTAACACGCGTGACACACAATAAACAACATAACACAGTAAACAACACGACATCATTCTACAGTAACATGTCTGAACTTAAATATTAAACTAATATGACACACAGTAAACAACATGACATAGATTTACAGTAAAATGTCTGAACTTAAATATTAAACTAACATGATACACAGTAAAGAACATGACATCATTCTACAGTAAAATGTCTGAACTTAAATATTAAACTAACATGATACACAGTAAACAACATGACATCATTCTACAGTAACATGCCTGAACTTAGATATTAAACTAACATGACACACAGTAAACAACATGACATAGATTTACAGTAAAATGTCTGAACTTAAATATTAAACTAACATGATACACAGTAAACAACACGACATCATTCTACAGTAACATGTCTGAACTTAAATATTAAACTAACATGACACACAGTAAACAACATGACATAGATTTACAGTAAAATGTCTGAACTTAAATATTAAACTAACATGATACACAGTAAAGAACATGACATCATTCTACAGTAACATGTCTGAGCTTAAATATTAAACTAACATGACACACAGTAAACAACATGACATCATTCTACAGTAACATGCCTGAACTTAGATATTAAACTAACATGATACACAGTAAACAACATGACATAGATTTACAGTAAAATGTCTGAACTTAAATATTAAACTAACATGACACACAGTAAACAACATGACATCATTCTACAGTAACATGCCTGAACTTAGATATTAAGCTAACATGACACACAGTAAATAACATGACATGGTTCTACAGTAACATTTTTGAACTTAAATATTAAACTAAAATGATACACAGTAAACAACAAGACACAACTTTAGATGGCAAGAATATAATATATACTTTTAGTCGTGCTCATGATGAAGGTATTTCAGCAAATCACTTGCTAATGAAGGATGGTGGTACATCTTTATAGATACACCCAACATTCTACTACAGTATCCTATACTTTTAAATGTTTAATTTATTATCTGCCAGACCATTGTTCATCAGTAAGTCACAAACAGTAGGTTAGATATCTTAATATACGACGTCATATCCTGGGGAATCTTTATATCCTGTAAGCTCATACACGGGAGAAAATATTCGGTAATCGGATATGTAAATAAGAAATAAAATAATTAATAGAAACGGACGTAAAACTCAGAGCATGGCGTAACGGGTCATATTCTGTTGATTCTTAGGCTTAAGGTATGCATGGAGTTACGTTTGCAAGATTACATTCAAAGTAGACTAGCTTTTTTTTTCGCAATTGAAACATGCGTTTTAATTGGTCGATTCTTGAAAAATGAGTTTCAATTGGCTGATCCTTGAAATAGTTGTTTTAATTGGCTGATTTATAGTTATAAAACAACAGTTTATTCATTTTTACTTGATAAAAAATTAAAATTATTAAAATCTGTATACAATAAACAATAATAATGATAAATCTAGATAATTTGGAAACAAAACAGACAGAAAGTATAAATTATGTGAAGGTTTATATACATAAAATCAGTTTTCGAAAATCTTCTTTAAACGATACCCTGACTTTAACTCGATAGATACCTGGCTGTTTATGGATGTTCCGCTTCGATTGAAACTATGGCTTACTGTTTCTATTTCACGCACCACATCCTGATATGAAGTGACGATGGTGTGGGGGACGTACCCCATTTCGTTACGGTAATTTCTTACTCTCCACCACTTTCTGCTGTCATCAATAACCTGAACCAGACCATAACATATGTAACACTGTACTAACACAAACTACAAGTCCTTTAACACTGTACTAACACAAACCACAAGCCCTTTAACACCTTACTAACACAAACTACACGTCCTTTAAAACTGTACTAACACAAACTACAAGTCCTTTAACACTGTACTAACACAAACTACATGTCCTTTAACACCTTACTAACACAAACTACATGTCCTTTAACACTGTACTAACACAAACTACAAATCCTTTAACACTGTATTGACACAAACCACAAGTCCTTTAACACCTTACTAACACAAACTACATGTCCTTTAACACTGTACTAACACAAACTACAAGTTCCTTAACACTGTATTGACACAAACAATAAGTCCTTTAACACCGTACTAACACAAACTACAAGTCCTTTAACACTGTACTAACACAAACCACAAGTCCTTTAACACCTTACTAACACAAACCATAAGTCATTTAACACTGTAGTAACACAAACTACAAGTCCTTTAAAACTGTACTAACACAAACTACAAGTCCTTTTAACACTGT